ATAGCAATGATTCAGCAAAATACAAGTGTATATGTATTTTTGCTGAAGCTGGATTTGTGTGACTGCAACGGACAAAAAAAAATGTTAACAATATTTCTTTAAATATTTTCCTCTGCTTCTTTTAATATAGTCTTCCGTTATACTACAAAAAAAGATTAAAAGTAATATTAAAAAGTTAAAAAATTACTTTTCACGCTCTGAGTAGCAGCGTGTAGTGCCACTTAACTGCAGCTAATAAAATCTTACAGCCAAAGTCACTCTTTTGTAGTTCCTGTCTGTTTGAGTGACCTTTCAATAAAAATCATGAGGTGTGATTTTGCATTATGCACACTCGGGTGATGGTTGCTTGTTCATTAACATTTTTTAAATTCATTTTCATTTCATATAAATACAAAATAAAAAATAAAATGATTTCACATATACGTATGTATGTATGTATTTCCCTCAATATTTTGATGCCTTAACGTTGATAAGAAGAGTTATTGTCGCTCAAAAAAATGGTGAACCATTTCTGTAAGCAGCACTTTTTAGGCGCTACAGGGATTCTCAAAGTCAAAAAGATGATATCAAAATTTGGCTTTAATTAAATGCAAAGTACATACATACATACATACTTCCAATGCTCGGCGCTCGGCGCTCGGCGTTCTGTCAGACATCCGCACTTAGTATATCAAAAATGTAAACGAATACATTATTAAAATATTTTACTTCAAATACGTTTTATTTGTTGGCTGATTTTGTGTGCGTGCGCTTATGTGCGTTTGATTCATGCGCTGTTTGTTAGTTCGTAAATTCACAGCAACACCCACTTCATTATAGCCGCTATTTTCAGTTGTTTATTCAATTTTCTTTCTTTCCCTACTCTATTGCCACTAAACAACTAATTACTAGTTTGTCTAATTTGTTACAAGCGCTTTATTGGGGGAGTTTTACCATTTTCTAACCATTCTTTGACCCTCAAAAAAATATCAAAAAATAAAAAAAAAGTTCAGACAAAATTTTAATTTAGGCAGCAACTATCAAAAAATTGTTAAACAGCTCGAAAATTCAAAACTAATGCGTTTTGCCCAAAAATTAATTAAGCAAATGCTTAGCCAAGCATAAATTGGACAAAACTTGGGCATCGTTAGCTAGTCGCTAGTTGATTACAATAACACTTACATATGCATGTATGTACTTACCTATATATGTATGTATATTATGTGCATTTGTATTCCCTCTAAATGCGCGCCATAAAATTCGCTACAGTGGCCACTGCGTTCCCGGCCGCACTTCCTACGACCTCCAGTCGCTTGGCACTAACCACCACCAGCACCGTCAACGCCAACAAATACCGAACGCACTCGATAAAACTCTGTATAAGTCGGCTGATTTGACCACTTAATTCAGCGTCTTGTGATTTTCACAAGAATTAACTAAAAATTATGTAAATGTCTTTTATTTATACAAAAGAAATATACGTACTTATGTATGTACATTAAGGCGGAGTAATTGGTTCGGAGCAAAATATTCGAAGCAGTGTATAGCAAATTCAAATTCTACGATTAATTCTAAGCAAACATGGCGAACAAACTACATACATACATATATACCAAAAATTACGTTTGACCCTCGCAATTTTCGAAGAAAAAGCAGTATATTGTAACTCTTTAGTCGAAATTTATTTTTAATTGTACCAAAAAAATGTTCTAATCTCTCAGTTTTGTGAAGTCGTTTTTTAAATACAAATAAAAGAAAACACACATTTTTTTAAATGAAAAACTAATTTCGTTCAGAAAAAAAATACATATATTTATTCTTTCAAAAATTGGAAGGGTCAAACGTCATTTTCGGTATATAGTTTGTTCACCATTTTTGCTTAGAATCGAACGTAGAATTTACTTCTACTTTTTTCGAAATTAAATTATTCCGCCATAATGTACATTAGAGTGGTCCAAAACTTTTTTTTCCGAGATAGGGTTTGGTCACCTTCCAAAATTGTTTCTCTTTCCGAAAGAGGTGCTGGCACAAAACTTTACAAGATGCTCATATTTTACTCTACTTAGAAGTAGTGTGTACATGTATTAATTAAACAATTGGTTAAGCGACATAAGAACAAATTTAAATTATCTAAAAAATATCAGAAGCCTCGATTGTCATGGCAACACATTTATGCCAGTTTCACAGCGATCCAGTAGCGCATTTCAAGATCATTGAGCACCTTGAATTGGTTGCAGTAAAAAATTGAAAATTGGTATAAACATTAAAAATATCAAAAGGAAAAGGCTAATGCGATGTTTCCACGATCCGTAATTCGCTCTCTCATTCGTAATTCGCTCTCCCATTCGTCATTCGCCGTGCCAATTACCTTCCGAATTACGTAATTGGCCATACAAAATTTTTGAGAGCGAATTACCTCATTTGTAGGTAATTCAGATCGAATAACCATGCGAATGACGAACGAATTGGTGCCTTCTCTAATATTTATCGGAAATATATCGACGTTTTCACCGGCCTGCTCCCATTTTCTGGCACTTTTTCTAGTTGTAGAATAATATTAATAAAATATTCTCTATACATATTAAAATTGTTGATGATAACTTAAATTTTAGCTCCATATTCGATATTTTCAGTACACAAAAATAATAATAAATAGCGAAGCAGCAAGAACTAGAGCTGCCAAACGAATTACTAATATGTGCCGTGGAAACAGGGTAATTCACGAATTACTTAGAGAGCGAATTACGAATCGTGGAAACATCGTATAAGGGGCCCCGTTTTCTAGAATGG